AAAGGCCATCTGCATAAAATATTACTTACATTAAAAATTTCCTCTTAAGATGGGAATTTGCAAATTACTTATTTGGAAATTTGTTTTTGCAAACCTGCAATTTAGGCCTTTACATGTCCAGATAAAAGTCAGTGACCTTTCAGTGAAAGTTCTGGTTGTTGTGGTTGTATTAACACCAGGCTCCTGTTTTTCCACTATATTCCCTTCCCTTTATTTGGCATGCTTCTACTCACCTACTCTTTCTCCTCTTTCCCCTCCTAAACAGAGTTAGGTAGCCCCCTTTCATTACTCTCCTACTGTCCTTGGGGATGACTTTGTCACTGCACTGTAAAGATATTGACCTGTTCTCGTATCTGTCATTAGTCTGGGTTCCTGCAGAGCAAGAGCTCTGGCATACTCATCTTTGTAACCAACATGCATGGTGTAGCATCTAGACTTTCAAGAGTTCTCCTTAAATGTTTGTTGGGTTATGGGGAGCTGGGATAGACTGGGAATTAAGAACTGAGTTCCAATTGGTACATTTTACTGTATGACTTTGGACAAGTGATATAAGCTTCCTAAACTTCAGTTTCTTTATAAGTAAGATGAGGTACTAGCCTACCTGGGTATCTTCTTAAAATGCAGATTGTGGCTCAGTAGGTCTCTGGTGGTTTCTAATATTTTGCATTTTTAGCAAGCTGCCAGGAAGAGTCAGTGCTACCAGTCTGTGAATTATAAAAGACTCGATAACATCTAATGGCTCTTTCAGTTTTTATGTCCTGTGAGTTTAATCATTGTTTAAAATCTGAACAAAATTTTGAAATAATGCTGTAATTACTAAACCTCTCCCCAGTTTATCAGAATGCTGAACACTGACAATTCTGTACCTTATTATGAAGTTTCCAATAGATGATGATTGCCTAAAAATTGAGAATAATTTTATTGCTCCTAAGATTGTGACATTGACAGGTTAAAAATATCAAATAAGTGTCTGTGAAAGCATTGAAGTTAGCAGTAGCTTGTCATGTAAAGGTCAGAATTACTCTAGAAGGCTTTATGCTAATGAGGCAGCTAGGTAGACATGTGATCTTACAAGTATAAATACAGAGACCGGCAAGCTGTAGAATCCATCATCATCAGAGGAGTTCCTTCAGTTCTGCAGAAGGTGAGATTGTGTTTGAGCATGTGTTACAGGGTATGTTGATGGATATGCAGTAGGTTCAGTCAGACTGTCTACTGAATATGGATTGCTGGTGATGGATCTGGTTTGAAAATGTTGTTACTGTTTCTTTTGGTTTTTATTTCCTCAAGAAGTCATGATATTTGATTTGGGAACATTGTCAGCTTGGAAATGTATAGTTCTCCTTTATCTCATGTGCAAATGTCTGAAAGTAGTTGACTGATTTTTATGTTTGACTTAGAGAGTAAGTCCATCTTTTTGCTCTGAGCCACACTAGAGATATTAATCAGGCATAGCTTCGAAGTCCAGATAAGTTATATACATGTGGTAATGGACTCTTGATTGTTTTTTTCTCTAAGAAAATGAAAATCTGGACAAGGGAAATTGGACCCTAAAAAAAGTACAGAATGTAGCCTATAGTAGGGGTGATTACCTTAATTATAATGATTTTTTCACTTCCCACAGAGTAAGATAGTTTGTCCTACCAAAGTGAGTTATATCTCATCTCCCCACTTCAGTTGTGAATTGGACTGAAGTTTTAGAGCTCCAAAATCATTTTAATCATTTCTAACCTTGGGTTCCCCTAAATCACACCAGCTGGAGCAAGCACAGTAGAGGGAGTTGAGTTAGGTGTTTACAGTGGCAGTGGAACCACAGTAGCTTTTGGTTTTTTGCTCCCACTTAATGGCACCCATCACAAGAATCCCAGCCCTGCCCTCTTACAGAGCCTTAGAGGAAGAAGCTCAGGAATGCTCCCGTTTCCTGCCATTTGCTACCATTTAATGCTGCCCTTCTTGCCGGGGGTCCTAATGGAGGCTCTCTCACTGCTTATTCAATCTTAATGTTGATGCTAGGTTAGAACTCATTTTTTAAAATGTCATTTATATTGAACCGAATTTAAAGGTTTTGAAACCAGTTATGCACTGAAGGCATTTGCTGCTGTCCAAACAGATTGTCCTTTGGGAAATACCTTAACCAGGATTATTATTATTGTGTATTTCTTTGGAGGCTTAGATAGACCGTTTTCTGTTACCTTTTAAGACTTTGCACTCAGATATTTTCATCTGTCTTTGACATTGAACTTAAGTGCCATATAGCTAATGAAATAGAAAGGAGTTGTTAATAATGCCTTTTCACTTCCAAACTGCTTTTGAATTTTCTAAAAAATATGGTGACCTTGTATCCCCAAAATATTAGTATTTTAAACTTTGTGTTTCAAGAAATTATTTTTACTATAAATAGGGCAAGACTATTGCACTACTTGTGTAAACTACAGTGTGATTTTAAAAACCAATATTATACATTTAGTATAACCTATAGTATTATTTGAAATTCCAGCTATTCTTCTCAAAAGAAGATCTAAGGGACAATCTTAATAGGAGCAAACCTCTTTCAGTTGTTACTCAGAAGAATAGTTAGCCAATTTCAGGAGGAAGGTATTCAAAAAAGTAAAGATTTCACCCAAAATGTATGCCTTTTTATGTCCCTCTTATTTACCTTTAAACCTGGATGTCTTATCAGTCTTAAGGAGCAGTAAGAGCCACTTTTGTCTTCCTGTGGGGAAGCAAATGTGTTAGACAAGGGTCATTTTTCCTCTGTAGTTTCATATGTGTTTTTGCTTTACCTAATTAATGTATTGACATTAGCAGGTTCAGTTTTTATCTCATTAGCAGTCCCCAACACAGACAAAAAGGACATCCACTCTTAGTTTTGAAAACAAACCCTAGACTCTGGAAAATCCCTTTGCTGCACTGGTACCAGCCAAGCTCCTACAGGGTTCTGTGTGCTGATAGTCTCTTTCCATCACTGGAACTGTAACCCTTTCTAGGCAAGAAAAGATTTTAGAGCTCCAAAATCATTTTAATCATTTCTAACCTTGGGTTCCCCTAAATCACACCAGCTGGAGCAAGCACAGTAGAGGGAGTTGAGTTAGGTGTTTACAGTGGCAGTGGAACCACAGTAGCTTTTGGTTTTTTGCTCCCACTTAATGGCACCCATCACAAGAATCCCAGCCCTGCCCTCTTACAGAGCCTTAGAGGAAGAAGCTCAGGAATGCTCCCGTTTCCTGCCATTTGCTACCATTTAATGCTGCCCTTCTTGCCGGGGGTCCTAATGGAGGCTCTCTCACTGCTTATTCAATCTTAATGTTGATGCTAGGTTAGAACTCATTTTTTAAAATGTCATTTATATTGAACCGAATTTAAAGGTTTTGAAACCAGTTATGCACTGAAGGCATTTGCTGCTGTCCAAACAGATTGTCCTTTGGGAAATACCTTAACCAGGATTATTATTATTGTGTATTTCTTTGGAGGCTTAGATAGACCGTTTTCTGTTACCTTTTAAGACTTTGCACTCAGATATTTTCATCTGTCTTTGACATTGAACTTAAGTGCCATATAGCTAATGAAATAGAAAGGAGTTGTTAATAATGCCTTTTCACTTCCAAACTGCTTTTGAATTTTCTAAAAAATATGGTGACCTTGTATCCCCAAAATATTAGTATTTTAAACTTTGTGTTTCAAGAAATTATTTTTACTATAAATAGGGCAAGACTATTGCACTACTTGTGTAAACTACAGTGTGATTTTAAAAACCAATATTATACATTTAGTATAACCTATAGTATTATTTGAAATTCCAGCTATTCTTCTCAAAAGAAGATCTAAGGGACAATCTTAATAGGAGCAAACCTCTTTCAGTTGTTACTCAGAAGAATAGTTAGCCAATTTCAGGAGGAAGGTATTCAAAAAAGTAAAGATTTCACCCAAAATGTATGCCTTTTTATGTCCCTCTTATTTACCTTTAAACCTGGATGTCTTATCAGTCTTAAGGAGCAGTAAGAGCCACTTTTGTCTTCCTGTGGGGAAGCAAATGTGTTAGACAAGGGTCATTTTTCCTCTGTAGTTTCATATGTGTTTTTGCTTTACCTAATTAATGTATTGACATTAGCAGGTTCAGTTTTTATCTCATTAGCAGTCCCCAACACAGACAAAAAGGACATCCACTCTTAGTTTTGAAAACAAACCCTAGACTCTGGAAAATCCCTTTGCTGCACTGGTACCAGCCAAGCTCCTACAGGGTTCTGTGTGCTGATAGTCTCTTTCCATCACTGGAACTGTAACCCTTTCTAGGCAAGAAAAGAGAGGCCTTATTAGAGGAGGGGGGAAGTCCTTTGTAAGAGAAGTTACCAACATCTCTGTTTAGATCCCTGGACTCTTCCTGCTCTGGCATTCAACTCTTCACCAGATTTCAAAAATTACCTGGGGTCCTTCCAATCTTTTGTTTGTTTTTTTGCTGCCTTCATAGGACAGTCCAGGTCTCTTATTTTGGTTAGGACATCACAGGACTTTATCTCAGTGGGGGTTGTTTCCTATGTTCTGAGCATGTGCACATCAGACCCATGAGTTCCAGATCTGACCTGTCTTTATCATAATGTTGAGCAATGTCTTGGCTGACCCAGTAATAATTCTTACATAACCTCTCACCTCACTTACTCTAGTAGATACTTCTAAAATATGTGGGAAAGCAATTATTGGTAATTGAATACTCTATTCTAGGTCAGCATACTGACCAAATCAAGGCCCAACCCATCCTGTCTTAAATCCCTGTTCATGTGCTCTCTAGATAGAATATGACTCCACAAAAACAATATTGTTAGCATTTCTCTGAAAGAAGGAGGTGTAAATGGAGGAGAGGAATGATTATAGCCTGTGAATAGGCTAAAATAAGTGTCCTTCAGATTTTTTTATCTGATGATATATATATGGGTTTGTTTGATGTTATTCTTTGTTCTTAAAAAAAGGCAGCCACAAACCAACAATTAATAATTTTTTTCTTTCAGTTTCCAAAAAAAGATCTACAGCAAAATGAATAATCTAACAATCAAGAGACTAGGAAATCACATTATCAAATCTCCTGAAGACAAGCGAGAATACCGTGGGCTAGAGCTGGCCAATGGTATCAAAGTACTTCTCATCAGTGATCCCACCACGGATAAGTCCTCAGCAGCACTTGATGTACACATAGGTACAATTTAAAATTATGAATTCAGCTTTGTTCAGTTTCATTGACCTAATGTTGACATTTATTAGAACTCTCCATATTTGTGCAAATAAAGACATGGTAGTTACCAGTTTGACATATCTTAACTTTGTACAGCAGTCCTACAGTTGTCTAAGTCAAATACCTTAAATTTACCGAGGCATTTTGTTAAGTTCCCAGATAAGATGACCTAGCAGCAAGGAAATTCATTCCTGTCCCTTACAGTCACATTTCTAATGCTTTCACTTTCATATACTTTTGGTACTCTAGGAAATACTGTATTTCCTAGATTCTTGTGTGCCTGTTTCTTCTGCATTTAATGCTGATTTAATCAAGTTGCTTCTTATCTATATGTACATTTAGGCAGGTTTATTTTTTTCTCTTTAAAAAGGTGTTATTTAACTCAGTGGCATTTTACAATTGAGGAAATAAGGTAACAATCGACCTATGTTGAGTAAATGATTATTGCCAAGCATACCACAGTGTGCTTTGCAAATATCTTCTAGTATGTATTCACACAACTAAGTTAGGTATACATAAAAAAAGGGCCTGAGTCAAGGTAGATCAAGTATTGTGCTCAGTTTCACAACTAATAGAGCTGCTAACCCGCAAACCTGTGCTCTGAGCACCACACTGTGTTGTCTCCTGTAATGAAATGAAAGTAAGAGCTGGAAAGTTCTAGCTCTTTTAAAATAGTGAATTCAGGTCTTTCTTTCCCTCTGGTGTGATGTGTAAGGAACATAATGTCCAGAGAGGTTAATCTGCCCAAAGTTGTCAACTAATTGATGTCAAAGCTGAGGCTAGAATCTAAATAGTACCATTTTAGAGCAGCCTGTGTTAACCTTTCTCTGATTGTATGGTTGAGGTTGTCATGCTAACAGAAGTTCCAAATCATCTGTAATTCATCTGTCCTTTATAGCTTTCAACATACAAAAAAGATTTATAATATATGTTTTTCTCTTCTTTTTCAGGTTCATTGTCAGATCCTCTAAATATTGCTGGCTTAAGTCATTTTTGCGAACATATGCTATTTTTGGGAACAAAGAAATATCCTAAAGAAAATGAATACAGCCAGTTTCTCAGTGAGCATGCAGGAAGTTCAAATGCCTTTACCAGTGGAGAGCATACCAATTACTATTTTGATGTTTCCCATGAACATCTAGAAGGTGCCCTAGACAGGTAATGTTGAACACCCTATGAATTGTCCAATTTTGTGTACTTGTCACATTAATAATAATAATTATTATTACTATTATTATTAGTACAAAGATTTCTTCTTAGCTTTGTAGCTTAACAAAAGGTAGTTAACCACTCTTTCCCCCCTGTATTTTATGAAAAATAAAAAATAATGAGTGATATCATATATTTATTTTATGATAGAGGCAAAATAATGGCATGACTTTAAACCAGCCCTACAAAATATTTTATTAGTTGTAAAATTCTCGCCAGCCCTTCCCATGCTAACTTGTATTACATATGAAACATGTAATGAAGAATAAACTGTAATAGTGTCATGGATCTCCTTTCAAGCATACTCCTGCTCCAGAATGCTAAAATTTAAATATTCTATTCTCCTTTAATTCCTCTATTCTCAGTGGTAGTGGATACAGACTTTTAAAAATTAAAATATAACATTAAATTAGTTTCACGTATACAACATCATGATTCAGTATTTGTGTACATTGCTTACTGATTATCACAATAAGTCTGGTTACCATCTGTCATCATACAAAGTTATAAAAACTTTTTTTCTTGTGATGACAACCTTTTTTTCACATTTTATTTATTTATTTATTTATTTATTTATTTTGTTATCATTAATCTACAATTACATGAAGAACATTATGTTTACTAGGCTCTCCCCTACCCCAAGTCCCCCCAACAGACCCCATTACAGTCACTGTCCATCAGCATAGTAAGATGTTGTAGAATCACTACTTGTCTTCTCTGTGTTGCACAGCCCTTCCCTTTCTCCCCACCCCCCACATTATACATGCTAATCATATTACTCCCTTTCTTCTTCCCCACCCTTATCCC